GAAAACTTCAATCACACAAAACTTAACGGCACTTCGTGAGATAGGTTAGTATGATAAAGAGCAAACCATTCAATTTGGTACTGTCAAAGACAAGATTCATAATTGTTCTCACACAATGCCTACTGTAGCCTATAATTTCCACAATTTATATTAAGAAATATAAGCCACAGAAACTAGGAAACAAGCAAACTATGCATTAAAAACAGAAACTGTCAAAAAAAGAACAGTCTGAAGTAATCTGTACCCCAACCATACTTCTGTAACTCTAAAAATTCTGAAAAATTAGGACAACATAGATAATTTGTATATCTATCACCTGTAAAAAATTCATATCAAAAGAACATTCCAGTGAATTTTAAAAATTTGTGTACTGAGCGTAAAAGTTTCTGTTTTTGCACAGATTCAAGTCAACTATCATCCACACTATCCCAAAGGCTTTACTTGGCACTTTATTGAAACAAAAGTTATAAAGGGTTACAACAGTAGCCTAATCATGTGAACACACAAAAACAGTAGGGGTAAATGTTGGGTTGTCTCCCAACAAGCGATTTTCTTTAATGCCTTTTAAGCTAGGCATGATGATTTCAATGATGCTCACATAAAAGTAAAGAATTGTAACACAAAGAGAGCATCATGAAGCATATGACTAGCACATTTAATCCTAACCCACTTCCTATGCATAGGGATTTTGTGAGCAAACAACTTATGGAAGTAATAATCAACTAGCGTAGGAAGGCAAAACAAGTGCAACTTCAAAACTTTCAACACATAGAGAGGAAACTTGATATTATTGCAATATGTAAATGCATATGTTCCTCTCTCATAATAATTTTTAGTAGCATCATGAAGAAATTCAACAATATAACCATCACATAAAGCATAGAAAACTTATTACTCTGCACATACGCAAATTTCTTCTCATCAATAGTAGTGGGAGCAAACTCAACAAAATAACTATCATGAGAGTGAAAATTAAAATCATGATGACAAGGTTCATGGTTATCATTATTCTTTATAGCATACATGTCATCACCATAATCATCATAGATAGGAACTTTGTTATCATAGTCAATTGAAACCTCATCCAAAATGGTGGATTCATCACTAAATAAAGTCATGACCTCTCCAAATTCACTTTCATCATTGTAATTATCATAAATAGGAGGCATGCAATCACTATAAAAAATTTGCACATCAAATCTTGGGGGACTAAAAATATCAGCATCAAACATAGCATCCCCAAGCTTATGCCTTTGCATATCACTAGCATCATGGGTATTCAAAGAATTCATACTAACAACATTGCACTCATGCTCATCATTTATGTCAAACATTCTATTGAATTCTTCTTCTATCAATTGAGCACAATTTTCATTTCCATCATTTTTCATGAAAGACATTATAAAGATGAATAATATGATGCAACCTCAATTCCATTTTTTTGTAGTTTTCTTTTATGAACCAAACTAGTGATAAACAAGAAACTAAAAGATTCGATTGCAAGATCTAAAGATATACCTTCATGCACTCACCTCCCCAGCAACGGCGCCAAAAGAGATTTTCGTTGACGGGGTGTGAGTGTCGCTTACCTAACCTCCCCAGCAACGGCGCCAGAAAAGAGCTTGATGTCTACTGCGCAACTTTATTCTTGTAGACATGTGTTGGGCCTCCAAGCATAGAGTTTTATAGGAAGTAGCAATTTTTCCTCAAGTGGATGACCTAAGGTTTATCAATCCATGGAAGGTGTAGGATGAAGATGGTCTCTCTCAAACAACCCTGCAACCAAATAATAAAAAGTCCCTTGTGTCCCCAACACACCAAATACAATGGTAATTTGTATAGGTGCACTAGTTCGGCAAAGAGATGGTGATACAAGTGTAATATGGATAGTAGATATTGGTTTTTGTAGTAAGCACAATAAAAATATAGCAAGGTAGCAATTGATAAAACGGAGCACAAACAGTATTGAATGCTTGAAAATGACGCCTAGGGTTCGTACTTTCACTAGTGAAATCTCTCAAGAATGCTAATATAATTGGATCATATAACCATCCATCAACGTGCGATGAAGAATCACTCCAAAGTTGCTATCTAGCGGAGAACATAAGACGGAATTGTTTGTAGGGTACGAAACCACCTGAAAGCTATTCTTTCCGATCAATCTATCCTAGAGTTCACACTAAAATAACACCAAGATATTCTTTCCAATCGATCTAACCAAGAGTTCGTACTAAAATAACACCATATGATACACATCAACCAACTCTAATGTCACCGCAAGTATCCGTGAGTTGATTATGCGATATGCATCAAACAATTTCAGATTCATAATACTCAATCCAACACAAAGAACCTCAAAGAGTGCCCCAAAGATTTCTACCAGAGAAACAAAAGACGAGAATGTGCATCAACCCCTATGCATAGATTACCCCAATGTCACCTCGGGAATCTGCGTGTTGAGGGCCAAAACTGTGACGCCCCCGATTCAATCGTACAATAATCATGCACGCAAATGTGTACGATCAAGATCAGGGACTCATGGGAAGATATCACAACACAACTCTAAAAGTAAAATAAGTCATAAAAGCATCATATTACAAGCCAGGGGCCTCGAGGGCTCGAATACAAGTGCTTGACATAAACGAGTCAGCGGAAGCAACAATATCTGAGTACAGACATAAGTTAAACAAGTTGCCATAAGATGGCTAGCACAAATTGGGATACAGATCGAAAGAGGCGCAGGCCTCCTGCCTGGGATCCTCCTAACTACTCCTGGTCATCGTCAGCGGCCTGCACGTAGTAGTAGGCACCTCCAGTGTAGTATGAGTCATCGTCGACGGTGGCGTCTGTCTCCTAGGCTCCAACCTCTGGTTGCGGCATCCGAGAAGAAAAGGAAAGAGGGGGGAAAGAGGAAGCAAAGCAACCGTGAGTACTCATCCAAAGTACTCGCAAGCAAGGATCTACACTACATATGCATGGGTATATGTGTAAAGAGGCAATATCGGTGGGGTGAACTGCAGAATGCCAGAATAAGAGGGGGATAGCTAGTCCTATCGAAGACTACACTTCTGGCAGCCTCCGTCTTGCAGCATGTAGAAGAGAGTAGATTGAAGTCCTCCAAGTAGCATCGCATAGCATAATCCTACCCGGCGATCCTCCCCTCGTCGCCCTGTGGAAAAGCGATCACCGGGTTGTCTGTGGAACTTGTCTGGGTGTGTTTTATTAAGTATCCGGTTCTAGTTGTCATAAGGTCAAGGTACAACTCCGGGTCATCCTTTTACCGAGGGACATGGCTATTCGAATAGATAAACTTCCCTGCATGGGTGCACCACATAACCCAACACGCTCGATCCCCTTTGGCCGCACACACTTTCCTAGGTCATGCCCGGCCTCGGAAGATCAACACGTCGCAGCCCCACCTAGGCACAACAGAGAGGTCAGCACGCCGGTCTAAATCCTATGCGCGCAGGGGTCTCGGCCCATCGCCCATTGCACACCTGCACGTTGCGTGGGCGGCCGGAAGCAGATCTATCCCCCTTAATACAAGAGCAGGCTTACGGTCCAATCCGGGGGGCGCCGCTCAGTCGCTGACGTCACGAAGGCTTCGGCTGATACCACGACGTCGAGTGCCCATAACGGTTCCCGCGTAGTTGGTTAGTGCGTATAGGCTAGTGGCCAGACTCAGATAAAATACCAAGATCTCGTTAAGCGTGTTATTATGAAGTAACCGCGAACGCCGCCCAGGGCCAGGACCACCTCTCGCCTAGGTGGTCTCAACCTGGCCTGTCGCTTCGCCACAAAGTAACAGTCAGGAGCCGTCGGGAACCCAGGCCCACCTCTACCGTGATGGAGCCACCTGTCCTTCCAGCCCCCATATCTGAATCACTTGCGGGTACTCAACGAGCCGACCCGACTTTAGTCACCATCAGTATAGTATGTATATATGTATAGTATATGCCCGTCATCACCTCCCGAGTGATCACGGCCCGATAGTATAGCAAGGCAGACTGACAAGAATGTAGGGTCAACGATGATAAACTAGCATCCTATACTAAGCATTTAGGATTGCGGGTAAGGTATCAAGGATTGTATCAACAATGACAGGCTATGCAACAGAATAGGAGTAACTGAACAGTAACATGCTACACTACTCTAATGCAAGCAGTAGAGATAAGAATAGGCAATATCTGGTGATCAGGGGGGCTTGCCTGGTTGCTTTGGCAAGAAGGAGGGGTCGTCAACTCCGTAGTCGAACTAGGGTCGCCGGCAGTCCCGGGTTCTACCGGAAAGAAGTAACGGAGGGAGAACACAATAAATAACAAAGCAATCAAAGCATCACAAAGCATAACATGGCAATACGCGGTGCTAGGTGTGCCCTAACGCGGTAGTAGGTGATACCGGCGAAAGGGGGAAACATCCAGGAAAGTATCCCCGGTGTTTCGCGTTTTCGGACAGGTGAACCAGAGGTGAAATGTTGCAGGTTCGATATGCTAGGGATGTGTGGTGGACGAACGGGCTGCTTATTCGGATTCGTCTCGTTGTTTTGAGCAACTTTCATGCAGAAAACATTTTCATCTGAGCTACGATTTATTTTCTATGTTTTTCTAAAGTTTTAATCATTTTCTAATTTATTATTATTAAATTAATTCGAAATTAGTATTATTGCATCAGCATGACGTCACCATGATGTCAGCAGTCAACACAGGTGTTGACTGGTCAAACTGACGTGAGGGCCCCGCCTGTCATTGACTGACTAACTAACTATCAGGTAATATTTACCTAATTTTTTTTTATTTTTTTTTTAATAATAATAAAGAGAATCGGGGTTCTGCCGTACGTCGTCGCGCACGATTTTGCATTAAAACCCCTCGGTTTACATTAAATTAATCCGCAATCACTGTTTTAGTAAGTGTGTATATAACGTTACATTTTGTAGAAAACCCCCTGTATTCATTAGATTTGCATCCGCTGTCCTCGTAGTCTTATCCAGTTCTCTGGCAATGGCGATGGCGATGGCGATGGAGACGGCGACGGGTTTCTCTGGCGATGGAGACGGCGACGGGTTGAGGGCTACGGGGACGCCGCGGCGAGGAGGGGCAGGTGCTGCGGAGACGGCGCGGTGAGGTGGGGCAGTGGCGGTTGTGCGGCGAGGCAGGGCAGGTGCTGCAGAGACGGTGCATGGCGAGGCGCGACAGTGGCGTCGCGGGCGAGCATGGAGGACGCCGGAGCAGAGGACGACAGCTCCTGCCGTCGCTTCTGTCCGCGCACGCCCGCGTGCTCGCCTCCGTCCGCGCCCGCGCCGGAGCGCTGCTTTCTACGCGCGCTCGCGTGCTCGCCTCCGTCCGCGCCCTTCAGCTCGCCTCTGCCCGCCACGCCCTTCAGCTCGCCTCCGTCCGCGTCCTGCCGCGTCCCAACCGCGCCGGGAGACCGCCTCTACCTGCCGTGCTTGCCTTTGCTCACGCCCTGCCGGACGGAAAGAGAAGGGAGAGGTGAGGTGCGGCGGTGTCCTGCTGCTGCTCGCTGGTGGCTTTCCGGCCATAGGCGCGAGGTGGGGGCTCTGTCCGGCGGTTTCCCATGACATCTACTACCGGAAGGCCAAGGAGGAGGGGTGGAGGGCTCGCAGCGCCTTCAAGCTCATGCAGATCGACCAGGAGTTCAACATCTTCCACGGTCTCGTCTCAACCCAATCAGCTCGCTCGCCTTCCTGCCACTTTGCTTCCATTGGTGTGCAGCATCAAATTAACCACATGCTGCTTTCGTTTTGTTGTTCATGCGTGCAGGAGTGAAGCGTGCCGTTGACCTGTGCGCTGCTCCTGGGAGCTGGAGCCAGGTATTCACATGCTCGGTTTCCCCCATCCATGCTTGCATCCCTTTGATCAATTGCTTATCTCAATCGCAATTGCAGATTTTGAGCCGCAATTTCTTTGTATCTACCGGCAAAGCTATCATCTGACGACAAGTGAGTAGCAACGTCAGTGCAAACATCTTATGTTCTAACATAATTTCATTCTTTATATCTGATTGTTTCTGTGCTCTGCTTATACCAGACATGGTGGCCGGAATTGATCTGCAACCGATGGCTCCGATAGAAGGTGTTATACAAGTGCAGGGCGACATCACCAATGCTCGGGCAGGGGAAGTGGTGAGATGGATAGATCAACTCATAGACCAATGCTCGGGCAGGGCGACATCACCAATACTTTTGCTTGTATTGCTGTAACAGATGTACATATGCTGCCAGGTTATCAGGGACTTTGATGGATGTAAAGCAGACTTGGTTGTGTGTGATGCTGCCCTGATGGTAAGCTTGCATTGCTAGACAAGTGGTCCATAACCATCTTACATGTGTTTATGGTACTTCTGTTTCTTACTTTGCTTTGGATGATTGCAGTTACTGGACTTCATGATATGAACGAGTTTGTTCAGTCTTCAGTCCTAGCTTATATTGGCTGTTGGTATAATTTTCTCTGTCTCTGCATGTCAATTTAGATCAGATATACTTTCTGGAAGTAATTTGCAGTATCCATAAGATGCGGTGTCCAAAAATAATGCTACCTTAACCCTGAAGTTTATGTTTAGCATTCTGCCTTAAAATGTTCACTTTCGGTGCAATAGCTTCTTTGTATTTTTTATATTGAACATTGGACCATTTTTACTCAACCTTTGGATAATTTGTTGCTGATTATGTTGTAGAACAACCTGGTGTAACTATGGTTTCACTAACTTGTCATATTTTCCACTATTATCCTTCCTGCTTCCATCTACCTCGTTGCCCCATCTCCCCTCTACCAAATCCCAGCCTCATGGTGGATTCATCTACATGTAGTTAATATCCTAGCGCTAAACCACCCAGCTGCACATGACTTGTTATGGACCATTTGTTATTCTTCAGGAATCCATACCTCCAGCAGTTCTCCTGGAGACCATCCACCCGAAGTTCATCTCTCTACCACTCGCTTTGTTCAGTACTTTTAAATACTCTTATCATGTTCTTTTCAGCGGTTAGAGCCCACAACTAAGATATGTTTGCTTCACACTAATGTTTGTAATCCGCCTATATGGTTCCTTATTTTATCATGTCCACGTTTATAATTCTCTGGTGCAGCAAAGCTGACCGATATTAGATGTTAACCTTTTTTTGAGCCAAAGCTTCCAGTATTGTACTAATTATATGTGCTCTTTGGTGCAGCGCTCACTGAACATATTGATATGTAAGTCAATTTAACAAATAACTCTTTGCTTTTTCGTGGTGGCGCAAATACATCAAATTTATCATCACCTAGAACCGAACATTGGATTCTTTTTGCCTGCATGTCAACACTACCGCAAATGACGATGATACTGCATAGTTATCCAGTTAGTTTTGTGAGAACTAATATGATAACTACTGGAACTAATAGGATAAACTATAGTAGTACTGTTGCATTGGAATACATGATTCTCTGGTTGGTACTAGGCATGATGCTTGCATTCAATATCTAGAATCCTGCACCACAAACCATATGTTTGTGATCCCTACATATGGTGTTCCAGTGGTGAAACCTGGAGCATATACTATATGCACATATATTTTTGTTATACATCAGGCATACATTGGATGGGCGAGCCGTACAAATAAGAGTCAATCTGATTATGGTTTAGTTACATATACTTTTTGTTTTCTTTTGGTGTGTAGTCATCTCTTATAGTGACCACAAATTAGTACATATAAATTCAATTTTATGATCACGGTTAAAATGAACAAGGTTCCTGCTCTATGGTATTTATGGTTTGTGATATGTAACAGTGAGCTGCACTATTTTTTTTCATCCTATTAGCAAAGCATCATTTTTGTTTTCGAGAAGATTTGATGATAGTGCAACTTATAAACTTACTCCAGAATGGACCGATGTTAATAATTCTTTTGTTAGATATTGGTCAATAGATTTCATGATTTAACTCCCTTGATATTTTAAGTTGCTTCAGTTTGGGCTGCATACAGTACAAGCTTCACTGTATATTCAGATGTACAGGATGGGAGACGTGCATATCATGCTGGTTTTCTACTCTACAATTTTGCGCAGCCATGGTGTCAATTTTGAACTGGCATTAGACTGGACTGTAAGATGTTTTAATGCATGTGAACATGGCCTAATTTATTAATAAAGAGAACTATATATGGTACTACTGTATGTGAAATGCATATGTTTGCTGGATAATTGTTATTATTTTTAAAGACAGTTCTACTCCCTCCTTTCCTGTTTATAGGGCTTATCTCAAAATTTTAGTTTTTCCATTTTATAAGGCTCAATTTGGTTGTTCCCCATCACATGTTCAGATTTCAAGGTGCATTAAATCATTGCATGCAAGTATTAAGAGAAAATTGACCAATGCATGTACTTTATGCATGCATGCATGCATTGCAAATAAAGCATTGGTAAGCATAATGTTTTAAGGAAAACAAGAACATTAATTGTGTGCTTTTGCAAACTACAAAAAATATTTCACCACTCACCATCTATCTTGGTTGGTGAGATTTTTGAATTGAGCCCTATAAACCGGAAAGGAGGGAGTATTGGCCTTGCTGGACAAGGAAATTTCCCCCTTTATTTTGTTTTTATATCAAACATATCGTGTTTATGTTTTTATGATGATCACATTGTAGTTCCCTTGTGATTCTGATCACAAGTGATAATCTATAATCCAGCATGTTTGCCAGAAAAGAGGATTAAAAGATAAAAAGCATATGTTTCTGAAGTTTACACCTGTTTTGCAAGGCCCCCATATGAATACATTACCAATGGAGTACTATTATTGTCCATGATTTTTTTATTACAATATGTTTGCTCTTTGAGGAGCTTGAAAAAGAATATATCTCAAGCGCATTGTATGAGTCTTTAGAAGAAAACACATACAAGGCTTCAAGAGGAAGGAAAAACAGAACAAGCTAGGAAAGACTTTGTTGAGGGTGTAGAACTGATTTTTCTCTACTGTTCTACGGTCTCCCCTTTTATAGTTTGTTCTGCACATGTACCTTGCACTGGGTATATATCATGATGATATTTTTCCATTATATTTTTTTTTCGATGGAACAACTAGCTAGAAGAAACGGCCTGCCATATTCCCGTTTGAGTCTTGTGTGAAAGCCTATATTATATACTATTTGTCCATATTATAATTAGCTAGGAAACGGCCTATCATGCTTCCATTTGATTCTTGATTGCAAGGTCATATTATGAAATGATATAAGCATGTCAGATTCAAGGAAGTTGCTGGTCTGATTTCACGTTATACTATTTGTCCTTCCCGAAGTACTAGCAAAAGAAAATAATGCATTTTCCTCTAATTAATCATTTTATTTTTGATTGTACAGTGAATATGTATGAGGTTACCATATACTATTTCATAGTATGATCACTGTGGTTGCCATTTTGTATCTTTGTTTAGCATTGCACCGTAGTTGCTTGATTAACTTGCAAAATCACAATATTTACCTATCTTTGTACTAGGAATGTTTGTCTTTTACCCTTCTATAGTAAGAAGGGATAGAGAATGGTTGGACTTCTAAAATTTCAATACACGGATATCTTATTACGTGTAATAACATAAACCATTAGATAATTATATTTAACTATATAATGTTCTTTGCCATTGTCATTCGTCTCATAAAAAGGTTGTCAGAAGGTCTATGATTACTAACCAAAACATAATCTCCTTTTGATTGTTTGATTTGCATCAAGATTTGTCCATGTATGCTGCTTTTATTGCGTAATTTGTTTTCCTGCTCCCGTAGCAACGCACGGGCATTGTCCTAAAAGCTGTAAAATATTACCCATCAATGCCATAAGTGATAAAAAAACGTTTTGCACCCGCCTGGGCCGGCCCAAGCATAGGGACCCACTATACTGCACTCTGCGTGCTGGGGAAGACACAGAGAGCCCGTTTTGGCCGGCCCATCTGCGGGCGCCTGTTTTTTTAGTTCCGTTTCTTATTTTATGTTTTCTGTTCTGTTTTTGTTTTGTTCTACTTTAAATAATTTGGAACATAAAAAAATAGAAATATAAAAAACTGATAATTTCGAAATAAAATGTTCAAAAAAAATGTTTTGAATTCGAAAAATGCTCAGAATTCTTCTAAAATTGTTTGCAATTTTAAAAAAGTTCATAAAACTAAAAAACGTCCATGATTTTGAAAAAAATGCGTGTATTAAAAATTATTAATGAAATTGAACAAAATGTATGCTAATTCAAAAAAAAATTCATGCATTTTAACAAATGTCCTAAAATTTAAAAAACAGTTAATGAGTTACAAAAGGGTTTATTGATTCATAAAATGTTTACTGATTCAGAAAATGTTCGTGCATTTGAAAAAAAATCCACCAATTTCGAGAAAAATGTTCGTCTATTCTAAAATTGTTCGCCAATTCAAAAGAAAAATCATAAAAACCGTTCCCAATATAAAAAAAAGTTCACAATTTTTAAAAAGTGTTTGTAAAGAGTAAAAAATGTTCATGATTTTTAAAAATATTCACAAATTTGTAAAAATATTCACGAATGATCGAAGGTTTGTAGTTAAATAGTGATGTTTCTGAGTCTTTGTGTCTATATACCCGTGTGAATTTTGAAGAATTAACTGCCGGGTTGGATCGAAATATTATAGTACTTTTTTAAAAAACATTTCTTGAAATTCAGAATAATTCTTTTAATTACTAAGTTTTTTTTACATCCATGATATTTTTTCCAAAATGTCAACATTGCTTCAATTTGTGAATAAAGTAAAAAAGTAAAAAAAAAGAAACATTTTTTTGCATTTGTGAACAAATTTTCAAAATCATGAGATGAGATGTGAATAAAAAATAGCCATCGTCATTGGAGATTATGATATATATTTTTCCGTTGCAACGGGCCCTTTTGCTAGTTAGGTTAATTAGTGGTTAGATTAATCTAATTATGATTAATTAACTTAATTAATTTAGTTAATTAATTGATTAATTAAATTTATTGTTATTATTATTTTTAATCTTTTTTATAAAATCGTTCTTGGGGCTAGGCCCCACATGTCATAGGGCCAGCGGGCCTTAACAGGCACGGTGCTAACGGGCGGTGGTGCGGGAGAACGCACGACGCACGCCGGCGCCGGCGGCGGCCAGAGCCAGGGGAGGCGGCAGAGGGGGGATGGCCGCGGCGGCGGAGGTGGCTGCGGCAGGGAGCAGCAGGGCGGTGTCGCGCCGATGGCGGGATGCACGGCGCGGCGCGGCGCGGCGGGTGGCCTCCGGCGAGCAGTGACGAGGGGGAGAGGTCCAGCAGCAGCAGAAGCAGCGAGGAATAGGGGGCACGGGGAGGCAAGGCAGGACGACGGCCCGGGCGTAGGGCGTCGCCGTCCGGGGCAGGACGAGGCCGGCGCGGGCATGTCTACAGCGGACAGCGCGAGTGC